CCCTTAATGCTGATTCCACTGTGTCGGTGACAGACGTGACCCTCTGTGCCCAGGCACCAGCGAGCGTGAACGCTGTCTCTTCTGCCTGCCTCTCTGATGTCCAGTGCCAGTTCCCTTACCAGAAAGAGGGGCTGAGCACAGACCTCTTCCCTGCTCTCAAGAAGCTGTGGGGATTAAATGCGGCTACACCCTGAGTGGGCACTCCACAGTGCTAGCTACCACTGGTGTCACCATCTCTGACTCATCCATTAAATGGGGCTGTCCCAGGGGCCCCCGAAGGCTCACACTTCACTGCTCTGCCCACTCAAAGACTGTGCTCTGTGGCACCGTGGGATGTACGTCGTGACAGCACAGGCTCTGGGTTTAGACGGCCTGAGTTCAAACCCTGGTTCTGCTACATATTTGCTGTGTGACCTCGGGCAAATATACAGCCTCTCTGTGTCTCACTGCCCAGATGGAACTTCGTTAGGTTGCTGGGAGTTAATCCACAGAAAGGTCTGACCCTGAGTCCGGCACATCACAAGTCGGCTGGCATCACCATCGCCATCGCCATTACTTCCGCTGAAAGCCCAACCTGCTCTCAGGCCTGCGTTTTCTGTTTGAGTTTCAGAGGCTGCAACAGCAAGTTTTATTTCAAAGCAGAACCATTTGCCAACAGCTCTGTGGCACATGTCTTGGCCCCAAGGGCAGATCGTTACTTAATGCACTTAAACTCCCACCTGCCAGCAGGTGCTGAGGGGGGGCACCGGCCCTCGGACATACCTCAGACTTCTGGGTTTACTCTAGAAGATGGAAGTTCAGGCCTTCAGGCCAGATCTCACTACCACTTCCCCTCAGGACAGCCTGGAAGGTGCCTGGCAGTGCCCAGATGACTGGCCTCGGGCACTGGTGAAGGCCCCTGTCTGATTCTCTGTGTCTTCTTGCTCCTTATGGAACCACTGGAGCAGTGGGGGCAGGCCAGGTCTGCTCTCGGTCTGACAGCCCCACGGAGCTAGGCCATTAGAGCCAAGACCACGCCACCCACGTAATGGGCATTTGCTACGCGTTCACATGAGTCCCTTGTTCTTCTCACAGATGATGAGCGGCTCAGGTGCCAGGCTCTGTGCTGGGTGCCAGGTGCTGGGCAGGGAAGGGCTCCTGCTGTCACGGAGACGAGGCAGCCAGGAGGCGGCGTGATGGTGCGCAGGAAAGTAGAGCTGGGGGTGGAGCGGGAGGGCTGTCGGGATTTCTTTAGGCCCGGGGTCGGGGCAGCCTCTCCCATCCAGTGGGCAGAGACTTGGATGAGGGACGTGACAAGATGGGGGCCCGAGCCAGAGAGAGGCCACGGGAGCGGGGGTGCTCGGAGGGGCTGAGAGAACGGAAAGGCCACGTGCCTGGAGGGCCTGAGCCAGAGGAGGGGTCGCTGTCTCAGGGGTCGGGGGTCAGGGGAGAGTTTAGAAAAGGCCTCTCTCTTCACCCACAAATGGTAGAGATTTCATTTAATCCTCACAACTGCCCACGACAAGGGGGAGGGAGGGGCCCTTTCACATTTAACGCTTGGCTCCTCCCGTAAAAAGCCTCAAGCCTTGGGGAGATCACCCCCCGTGCCTCAGTGGCCTCACTTCTAAAATGGGGTCATGAGGAGGACGAGGAGAAGCGTCGCCCTTGAAGGACACACCCACGCTGGCCCCTAGGGCCGGGAGCGCCGTCAGCACTGGCCCATCAGCGGAGACACGGAGCCAGGGGGGTCAGTGACCCGGCCAGGGGCACAGGGCAGCCCGATCACCTCTAGCACGGCGTGGTACCGCCTGTCTAGGCACCTCACCCGAGGGGTGAGCGGGGAGCGAGGTGCTGGGCCCAAAGCTCCTACTCTAAAGGCCCAGGCGCCGCGAGACAGGTCAGGGCTTTTGGAAAGAGAATCAGCCCGTCTGCGCGGGATGCTCTAAGTCCCGTCCGCCACCTGGCAGCCTCAGCTGGGCCCCTGGCCTGACCCTGGCCCTGGACACTGCTTTCTGGACACACGTCTGGCCTCCCCCGAGCCTGCAGTCTTTCTGCTCCACCGGCCGCCGGCCCCCTCACACTGCCTCGCCAGCTTACAGTGCTCGAGCCTGGCACGCGAGGTGGCACAGTGCTGGCAGAGGCTGAGGTTTGGCCTGGGGTGCCCATGGCCACCAGGGAGCATGCGGGGGCCACTGCCGGGAGCCCCCCCCTCCATCCCGCACCCCCTTGTGGTCCCCGCGGGCTGCTCCCAGAGCGCTCAGGAGTCTTTTACCTTCCAGGCGGGTGTTGGGCTGGACGATGAGCTTCCGAGATTCCTTGCGGAGCAGCACGGTGTCCCTGAGGGTGAGGAAGCACTCGGGGGGTGCATCGGTGACGGCCGCGTACCCCTCATACAGGGCCCGGCCGCCGGCTACGTCTCCCGTGGACTTCAGCACCTGTGGGGGGGCAGCAGTCAGTGCCCGTGGCGGGCGCCCACCCGCACCCCGGGGACTCTGGCCCCTCTGCTCTCACTGTGACTGTGAAGAGCAAGAAATGCAGATGGAGCGCTCAGCTGGGGCCAGGCACCTGTTAAAACAAAGCTGGCTGTTTCTCAGCGTCATCACAGAATGACCGGCTTACTGGAAGCCTCCGTGGGCCACATTCTGGCCGCTGCCCACGCTGAGCTGGTTCCCCACCCCCTGCTGAGATCCCTGCAGGTAGTCAGTGCTGGAAAACTAGCCAGTAATGCGGAAACTGGAGCGTCACCCAGCTCACGGTTAAGGAGGCCCTGCTGTATGGCTGTGGCTGTTCTGGGCTGAGGTCTGACGCTTGAAGGCCAGCCTCTAACGTCTGACCATATCTGGTGTGTTATTTGTGTGTTCTTGGACCACTTGTTTCATCAGACAGTTATTTGAATAAATTAGTGTGTCCAAAGGAATGTTTTCTCTACCAAACACTACGTAGAAAGTCACGACTGCTCTTCCTATTAAGTTGGGTTGTTTACTTAGCTTTAACGCTTTCCTAAATGTATGTCTCTACTCTCCTGAAATTGGACGTGAGTGCACCAACATGGTACACATATCTATGAAGATGACATTTTAATTTGAAGGTCTGAAATGTCTATTTCAGCTTTACTTCCAGAAAGTTAGGGGGAAAGACTAAGAAAACTGAACTTGAAAAGGTAGGGAAATAGTGCTACATGTCAAAGTGATGGAGGTAAAACGTGTATCCTCACAGGATAAAGAAGAGATTTTTGTTTCTTGTTGCTAAAACTGAAATACTCATTTGACGGTATCTGTGTGTGTAAATGTAGGGGTTTTTCCTGCCAACTTGAATATAACCGCCTTTTGCACAAGGTCTGAGAGCGATGGTAATGACCTACATTTCTAATCTGATTTTGCTATGCAGATAATATTAACCTGTTCGTCTTTATGATTTTTATAGAACCTTCTGCTTGAAAAAATAAAATGTCCTGTAGATGTTGAGAAAGAAATAAAAAGGAATTGCTGCTCGGAGGTCCCCAGCCTCGCCTGGGCCTGGCTGTCAGAATTTCAGAGCTAGTGCGTCTGGCGAGGGGCCTGGGAGCTGCGTTTCTTACTGCTTGTGGCCATGGGCTGCTCTTTGTGACCCTGGCTTGGGTGACGAGAGCCCAGCAGCTGAGTTCCATCTTGTTGCTGTTTCATTTTTGCCAGATGAGGCAGCTGATAAATCCAACATGACTGAGGAGAGAAGTATGTGTCCCAGTACACAGAAGAACCCAAAAGATTCCCAACTCTAAGCATCCCTATGTGAGGGCGGGGACGGGGGAGCCAGGGTTACGCTGTGCTGACCAGAGTCCTTCCCTCACCAAGAGGAGGCCTCCTTCCACTCTGCATCCTCGCACACTCCTGCTCCTTCCAGTTCTCAGTTTTTCTTTCTTCTGCTCTCAGATCTCCTCATAGCAGGTTCCCGCTTGATACAAATCCCAGCTCAAATATCACCTCCTCCAAGACGCCTTCCCTGATCACCCTGCTAAGGTAGCTCTGAATTCCATTCCCTTCCAATCTTACTTGCGGAAACATTACCCTGTTTGACTGTTTTTTTCCGCTCTTGTCAAGACCTGAAATTATCCCATTCACAAGTTTACTGCCTTCCCGCACCACATAAAAAACTGCTCACGGTTTGTTCTCGGCGCTGGCATGTAAAGCGGCTGAACGAGAGAAAGGACGAATGAACGGATTGGGAGGCCGAGAGGCAGCGTCGCAGGCTGGAGCCCCCAAGGCCAGTGGCCTGGGCTTACCTGCAGCTTGCGCAGGAACCGCTCCAGCGCGGGCTTGCCCACAGACCGGATCTTGCTACGGTCAAGGCGGACGCGGGCGTCAGGGCGCCCGTCGGCTCCTGTGGTGGGGGTGACGGTAACGAGTCCCTCGCCGGCTTCCAGCAAGACCCTCAGGATCACAAACCGGGCCTGCATGTGGGCCTACGGGGGCGGGGGGGGGGAAAGGGGTCACTTACAGCCCTCAGATAAGATGGACCAAGGCCTTGGTCAGGGGCCTTGTACACAGTTGTGCTCGCTTACCATCAATTAATATTTTACTCCGCCCACCCCGTGGTCCTTTCCTGCCGTTTCCTGTCCCCTCAAATGCTTTCTGCTCCTCCTCCTCATGTGGGAGAGCAGGGGGCCCTGGGGATAGAGAGGCCATTTCCGGGCAGGACTGGAGCCCTGTGCCCCTCACCCCCCTTCCAGGGTCCCTCAACACCAGGACTCTAGGCACTTTTTCCTCAACAGTGGAACCCAGCGGGCATCATTTCCCAGTTTACAGATGATAAAACAGAGGCTGGGAGGAGGTGAAGTGACTTGCTCAGGGTCACAAGCTTTGAGGGCGCGCACGGCCCAGAGCCAAGCCCTGACTGCAGCAGAGTTCTTCCCATGATGCGATATCACCTCCCCAAAACAGTCATCCGGCTTCTGAAAGACCCCACACTGCTTCCACAGATTGAGAGCAGTCTAACCGCGACTCAGGGCAGTCTAACCG